CCCCGGATGCTCGAAGGCTCGAGAAGAAGAGCTTTTCGGCTCGGGAACGCTGCTCCAAGCAAAGCCCGGTTTTCTATAAAACCCGCTGTAAGTGAGCTACGCCTACGCTATTTTTAATATAACTTTATTTAATTATAGTAACGTTATTAGGAACTTATAATAAATACTTGGGCTATTATTATGGGTTATATAAGTATTTTTTTGACGCTTATATAATAATAATAATAATAGCTAGACTATTAATTAGTCTCGACGAATAATAAACTAAACTCTAGTGGTAATAATACTAGGTTTCGTCGAAGAAAAATTCTTTTTAAGAAGCGAAGCGCTGTCTGAGTTCGGAATCACCACCTTTTCGGTGAGTGCATAGTTACCTTCAACTTACACATAGATATGAAGTATTTTATATAAATTTACGTGCTATGTGTGCATATTATCTGAATACTTGCTATCTATGTGTAGATGAACGTTGTTATACATGTTTTCAATGATTTAAACTGTATATGTATTTTATATCTACGAAAATGTTGGGGTAAAACATGGGTAGATGTAATAGGTGATGTGTGATAAAATGATGAGAGGCCTCGATGTTGTTGTTGTTGATCCAGTCATCTAGCGAAGTATAGATGACGACCACGGACTCTTCTAGACAGTCCAGTGGAACACTAGCAGGCTCGCAACCTGTAGGTGTTGTGAACGATGTGTTCACCGGTGTACTCCATCCCCCACATGGTTGCCTATTAGGACAATTATTGCTGAGGAATCCCCTTAGCAGTAGTGTTCGTCCCGATGATGATCCTTAGGCTAGGTCCCTTATGATAGGTGTTTAGGGACGTAAAGTGAGGATAACGGGAACGGGTGATCGGGTTATTGTTGATTGATGAAATTAATAAACTTATTTATTGTGGGTTGAAACCCTATGTGCTCACCAGGCTCCCAAGCCTGACCCACTCAGTTTTATGCATTACAGGTAGTGGGCGCATGAGCATAGTGTGATGTTTTGGACGAGGGATTACGGATATAGGCCTGTAGATAATGAAATAATGTAGTAAGGCTTATATTGTACTGTTATACTTTGATCTGTACGAACATGACATCCCGAGTCTTTTAATGAAATACATTTCTATGGAAATGCTTTGATAAATCTTTATCATATTATTG